ATTATATATATTAGAGATAGATAGATAGATAGATAGATAGATAGATAGATAGAGTGTCAGACAGACAGACAGACAGACAGACAGACAGACAGACAGACAGACAGACAGACAGACAGACAGACAGACAGACAGACAGACAGACAGACAGACAGATAGTCAGTCAGACAGACAGACAGACAGATAGACTAGATAGATAGTAGGCTAGATAGATAGATAGATAGATAGATAGACAGACAGACAGACAGACAGACAGACACACATACAGACAGACAGACAGATAGACTAGATAGATAGATAGATAGATAGACAGACAGACAGATATACTAGATAGATAGATAGATAGATAGACAGACAGACAGACAGACAGACAGACAGATAGTCAGTCAGACAGACAGACAGACAGATAGACTAGATAGATAGATAGATAGATAGATAGATAGACAGACAGACACACAGACAGACACACAGACAGATAGATAGATAGACAGACAGACAGACAGACAGATAGTCAGACAGACAGACAGATAGATAGATAGATAGATAGATAGATAGATAGATAGATAGATAGATAGAGAACTTTGAATTTGTGTTCACTATTTAAGATGACATCAGTCCTCGTTTTTTTATCTTTTCTTTTTTTCTCTTTTTCATCTTTTTGCAGAAACAATACATATCACCTTTAAGAATCTGTCCCAATTCCGATGACCTGAATGACTCATACAATTACCAAATGTCATGTCCTAGAAATGTCTTTTAGCTTTAAAACACATGTTGGTGAGGAAGCACAAGCAAGTGTGAAACGCCAGGGTAAGAATGCCAACAGCTCTCTTTAATTACAGCTGAAAGATTTATAGAGACCAAAATGAAACATTTATAGTCGGCGGTGGGATTTCAGACACTGATTATAGGTAATCATTAAAGTCACAATTCAAAACAACAATACATAACCCTCTAATCCACAAGACCTTGAAATGCTGTTTGACATTACAATAGATCAACCCTGTATTTAGTGGGGAAAAACAGAGGAGAAAAAAAGGAACTTGTGGAAAAAGTCTACGTTTGCTCGCATTGTTGTATAGAACTGGAGATATTAAAGAGAGCTCGCATTAACTATTGCACATACAGTCGTCATCACAGAAGGGTTTTTGACCCAACACGGTTCTTATGCATGTCAGTAATGTTCAAGAGAGTATCTTTAAACAGCAAGTACTTGACTTTCCGCAACAGCTGCTCAATAAACGCCGGCCTGAAGTGTCAGCATGTTCTAAACATTCAGAGTGGCCATTATGGTAAACCTGGCGAATTCCTTCTTGTCTCCATCATGACATGAGGAAGAACAGATTAAAGGGCTGAAGAGTAATGCAGCACAGTTCAACATTATGTCATTCCTGCATTTTACTGTATGTCCAGATTATGTTCTCCTTCAACAGTTTCCCCTCAATAAACTCCTAAATACTGTGTCTGCTTATTGATAATAAGGTAGTTTTTGTAGCAGTTTTGTTTAGGTATGGGGTAGGGTTAAGGGATGTAGAATATGGTCATGCATAATAAGGCATTAATATGTGCTTTATAAGTACTAATAAACAGTCAACATGCTAATATGCATGCTAATAAGCAACTTAATAGTGGATATGATTCCCTAATAACCCTTTAGGGTTACCAAAATGTCCTTTATCGTGCAACCTGTCCATGCGGGCGTCTGCTTAATATGACTTTCTTCCATCAAGTGACTGCCAATTTTGATTCTCTTACCCTTGTGAAAAAGAATTGTGCTGAATAGTATTGAATGTGTACTTTTAATTCTAAAAGTATATTTAAAAAAAAAATACCAGCCAGTTATGTGTACATAAAGAGACTTTTATGATTCTTAACACTTAAAGGCAGAGTAACATGCACTGAAAGCTCTCTCCTCCACATCACGAGTAGACACGCCCCTTATTGCTGATTGGTTACAAGTTTGTTTTGCTATTCGGCCCGAATCAGTTTTCTAAAGTGTTTTTGAAAAATCACATACCCTGCCTTTAAGTACTCTTTTAAACAGTGCATTTTCAAAAGTGCAGATTCAAAGTTTCATAATAAAGTGCATCTTTTGTCATGCTTTATACTGTGCCGGTTTGTGACATAAAACATGCATCTCCATTTGCTTAGACAACCTGTTTTATAAACTGTTCAGTGAAAATGTGTTCTGGCTAAGAGCCTAACTGCCACACAGCAAAATCCCCAGAGTTAAATCAACTCTGCTCAGAGTACATATTGTCCCAATATCTACAGAGTGTTAAAGTAACACTGAAGCAGAGTTACCACTGTTGAAGATTATGTAATACGTTTTCATGCCTAAAAGCCTGAGCAGTAGTTGTTCATCTTCAACATTGTTAACAGTGAGTCTTCTTTACTAATGCTCACTCATCAATTAATTAATTGCTTAATTATCCCATTAACTTTAACTCGGCTTCAGTGTTACTTTAACACTCTGTAGATTGGGACAATATGTACTCTGAGGAGAGTTGATTTAACTCTGGGGATTTTGCTGTGCATTCTTGCTAAGAACTGTTTGTCTCAGACATGGACAGGCCTCATTTAGTGTATCTCTCTTCCAACAAGTACTTGCTTTCAAGTATTTGTACCAATAATTAATTTTATAACATGAAATGCATCCACTGATGACCCTGACTGAAGTCTACATCATTTATATTGAATAATCTGAAATATGTATACTCCTACTATTCTTTATTGACTGAAAAGTGGTGTATGAAGAGTCGACCAGTGCTTGGGTGGTCTAGGGGACTTTTTGATATGGTTTTGATTTCACGTGGTAAAATAAAGATGTGTCCCATTTGATGAACAGTATAAAACCCAGTAACCTAAATACATGTTTTATAAAGCGAAAGACAGACATTCTCTCAGTATCATAGATTTTATAGTCTTAATTTTTAATTTGTGCAAAAACAATTATCCTCTGGCTTTAAAAAGGCACAGATGACATACGCTTTCATACTTTTACATTACTGACTTGAAAACAAAGCACAAATCTGAATATTTACACAAACCATTGTACTGTACAAACATTTATGATTTCCCTAAAGACATTAATACGCAAATATATTGCTGCAACAGGACTGAGGTAACACTTCAAGAAAGTTACAAAGAAAATAAAAGTAGGTGAAAAGCAAAAAGCAGCAACACAGAGGCCTTCAAAGGGATTATTGTCCTCAACGGCCCTTATTTCATAGAAGAACATCCACATTTGATCTAAATCCGGGACTCTATAAACACTATCCAGCTAAGAAATATGCATTAAGATAAGAAGTTGACATACTTTCTTCACAGAGGCATGACTTTCAGCTTAAGTACCTTTCTATTACGTTGCAGCATAATGTGATTTTTAAAAATCTGTGTTTGGTCGGTACTGTGCACTTGGGTTTCATTCCGTGCGAAATAAAAAATAAAGTTAAAGTTCTAATGAGACTGCTTTTGGCAGTAATGATTAACGCTGGGTTTTGTATAGCATTTAACCAAACAGGAACATGTTAGACTCTGGCAGACGTTTCAGTCTTAAGTGGGCATATATCATGTGTCACATTCATAAATATTTGGTTCTGTTCCACAGAATTTGCAGCTCTGAGCAGGAGTTGAAGGAGGCATATAAATAACATAAATGAAGGTACCATGATGAAAGATGAGCCTAAACATGCACTCTGTGACTGAATTCTCCTGGGATTAAACATTGTTGCAATGTTTTTGCACCTTTACCATAATGTCTGAGTAGTGTTGACTCTGGAAGGCTTGCATGCATTATGAAGGGAAGGTTTCTTTTGCTTGGAGGTTTGCCTCTTTTTCTTTGCCATTTCTCTGTGAAGCATCTGTTTGCCCACTTCAGGTCCAATAAATCCCCCCTACTGCTCTGTAAACACACTCAACTACTATTGCAACAGAGCGCAAAAGTTTCCGGAAGTTAAAATCCGCACTCATTTTCGTCATAAAGAAGTTGATTTTAACAATAAAGCATAAACGTTTGAGACAGACGTACCATGAGCTCTGAGCTCGGAATTATATTTTCATAATAGGTTTGTAATTTTGTGATTCATCTTAAATAATTCTTGAAGCAAAAAAAGTAGGTGATGATTGTTGCGCTCTTTTCCAGCAAAAAATGAGAAACACACAAGAAGTCTGACAAATCGACAAAATATCTGTACAGATTAAATACAGTGTAATCAATATGCATTTTGTATGGAAATTAGAGATTTTGCATGTATTTAAAACTAATAGAATATAATCAAAAAATAAACTGACTTCATCGATTAAAAAACAAAAACAACGATTAAAACCAGCACCGCTGTTAAAATACCATTTCTACCACACTGCATTTTGTTAAGAGTTGCATGTGTGCTTAAAAATGTTATTCACAATTGTATATAAAACCCCTGGAAGCCCATGGATTGAGCTAGCAGACTTTGACAGATCCTTTGGTCTTCTGTAAATGTCTCTTTCCTCCCAAAGACAGAGTCCGAAGTGTTGCATTTCCTTTGATATGTCCTGACTTTTGAGAGCAAATCAGTGACCTTTTGTGTGTCGTCAGTGCCGTCTCACTCTCTAACAGCAAAGACACGGAACGAACCGCCTACTGTATTGCTTTTACTGTAAGAAAAAAAGAGAAAGAAAACAATTAACAAACAATTAACTACTTTAAAAAACACACTCGCCACTCTATGAACAGATCTTTCTGAAAAATATCTAAGATCTTATATTCAGTTCACACTTAAGTATATTGTTTTAATGTTTTCAGACACTTAGTTGCATGTTAATTGCAATTAATTGAAAATGATTAGAGTTTAAATTGGTATTAAATGCAATTAGCTGAACTTTAAACTTTAGAGTTGTTGTTGTTGTTTTGTGGGGGGTTTTTTATCCACTTAAACAGGACTTAAAGGGATAGTTCACCCAAAAAAGAAAATTCTGTCATTTATTCACCTTCAAGTTCCAAACCTATATGAATTTCTTACTCATATAAAAGATATTCCGCCGCTGGCTTTGATCACTCCAGCGTGGAGAGCTGCTCGGCAGATACTGGAGCCCTGGACACGAGGAGACAAAAGCGTATTCTTTTAGTCGACATGCCAGCGTTCATAAGTAGATCCACTGACCTTCATTCTGGAGGATTTATATCATGCTTCCTCAAACTTGCACATCTTTTGTATACACTACTAGTCAAAAGTTTGGTATAATACTTTTTTTTTCAATCTCATGCTCACTGCTCAATTATTCTTGGTGCTTAATTATTAATAATGGTTCTTATTATTATCAATGTTGAAAAGCATCATGTGAAACTTAAGACTGGAGTAATGGCTGGAAATTCAGATTTGCCATCACAGGAGTAAATTACATTTTAAAATACATTCAGATAAAAAACAGTTATTCTACATTTCACAATAGTATTGTTTTTAACTATTTTATCAAATAAATGTAGCATTGGTGAGCGTAAGAGACTTTCCAAACTTTTGACCTGTAGTGTGCACATATCATGCACTGGGTGCAAATAGATAACACAACCAATGCAAGTTCATTTCTATGAACAGTCATGTCAAACTCTACTTTTTGGGTCAATGACATAATGCAAAAATATATTTTTAAAAAATGCCATTTTTACATACAATGTCTTAAATACACCTCTTAATGGGCATGTTTTTAATTTCTGAATTGACATACATCTCTACTGAAATAAGGCAGGCAAATTCTCTTAACATTTTTAAATCTCGCCTTAAAACTTATTTCTTTAGGGTAGCTTTTACTTAAATCTTTATATAAATTTTATATTGTTTTTATTTCTAATGTGGTTTAAATGTGTTTTTTGCTTGTTTTTTCATTCTTACATGGTGTATTTTGATGTTTTATTTGTTATGTAAAGCGCTTTGAGAAGTAACATTTAAAGGCGCTATAGAAAAATAAAGATTATTATTATTATGATTACATTTTGACATCATTTTTAAATATGTTTAGTAGTTTGGCATAATCTTTTATTATTAATTCTTAGAAAAAAATATTTGTTTGACCTCTTTATGACAAAGTAAGTTTAATTCAGGTTGAAAATGCATACTAGATAATATTTATAAATTAATAATGAATGATTTTTTTAAGGATTAAGTTTACACCACATGACACATGAACCCTTAAAGGCTGGAATACACTACACAAGTTTTAAAATCTGAGCAGATTTTAAAACACTTGACTTTGTAAATGGTTACAGAGAGTAACTGAACGACTGAGGACAGCACATGACAATACAAGACTTTCAAGTCATTCTTGAACACAACAAACTCACGTAGAAACATGGTAAGAGACTCGAGGCAAATGAAAACAATATGTGACCCTGGACTACAAAACCAGTCATAAGGGTCAATTTTTTTAAATTGAGATTTATACATCATCCGAAAGCTGAATAAATAAGCTTTCCATTGATGTATGGTTTGTTAGGATAGGACATATTGGATATTTGGCCGAGATACAACTATTTGAAAATCTGGAATCTGAGGGTGCAAAAAAAATCTAAATACTGAGAAAATCGCCTTTAAAGTTGTCAAAATGAAGTTCTTAGCGATGCATATTACTAATCAAAAATTAAGTTTTAATATATTTACAGTAGGAAATTTACAAAATATCTTCATGGAACATGATCTTTGCTTAATATCCTAATGATTTTTGGCATAAAAGAAAAATCGATAATTTTGACCCATACAATGTTTTTTTGGCTATTGCTACAAATATACCCCAGCGACTTAAGACTGGTTTTGTGCTCCAGGGTCACATATGTGTTCTAAAATCAGCTCAAAATATCAAACACGTTTGATATCCTCTGAGTGGATGGAATCAAAATCGCCATTTTTTTAAGAAGTTAAAAAACTGGAGTCTGTACCCATCATTCACTACATGATTGTCTGATTGCCCAAAATTTGCAGACTGGCTTTCGTCAACTACACTCTTAAAAATAAAGGTTTTTCATTGGCATCTATGGTTCTACGAAGAACCTTTAACATCCATGGAATCTTTCCATTGCACAAAAGGTGCTTTATAGTGGAAAAAGGTTCTTTAGAACAATACAAACTTCTTCACACTAATAAGAAAAAAATGGTTCTTTTAAAAAGTGTTCATTGAAAGGCTCTTTGGGGAATCAAAATTTGCTCTTTTATGGCATCATGCGAAAATCACCTTTTTGGAACCGTTATTTTTAAAAGTGTAGTGTTGACTCCTCCAGGCTGTAAATCGGGCCAGAAATCTGGACAAAAGTCGTAAGTATGAGCAACAGTAATAGTGACACTGGCCATAGCACCATGCAACTATGTTTTCCACGCTCTATTCAACAGTCCTTGAGATGTACACAGTCTAAAGGAGCCTTGACAAAAGACATCACTTCGATGTCTACGGCACGCACAAGAGCAAAGCCAGAGCTCAAGAGCTCCAGAAAAGGCAAGCTGGCCAGACGCCTGGCTTCAGAGCAGCTTAGTGAACTCTCTGGAACTGCATGTACCTTCAGTTTTTATTCTTTTAACCTGGAAAGAAGGTTCAATCCTGTCTGCCTCTGTCCACAAAACCATTCAGTAATAATGAAAAGTAATGAAAGTGCATAGCTCATCGCACACATCTGGGTGCCGCTATCTTAAAATCCTCATCCAATTGTTCATGCGTTGAGTATAAGTGCACTTTCAAACAAAGACTACCTTCACAAATTACCAAGTCCAAGCCACTGAATAATGAGGGTTAATTAATGCTTGCTGGAGAGCGTGCTCTGATCTGAGGCCAGCTATGCAGACGCTCAGCTTTTCCACAGGAATGTAGCCGTAACAAGCCAAAAGGCAACAAGTTCATTTGAGTTCATACACCACTACACAACCAGGCCATTCCACACTAGCTCTCTCCTCCAGTGAGGAAGAGACATGCCTGATTGAAGTTAATTTAAGAAATAACTGAAGACTGACTTTTGAATTGCTGTCAATTTAATTTACAGTTTGATTCCGATCTTTGCGATGAATCCAGCTGATCCATTTCTGAATGATTCATTCACAAATTGGAGTTCGCACTATTTGACAGCTCACTAAAGAGCTTGCTAAAGATTATCAGTGAATAACATATATTTTGATCTATTCCTCGCATAAAACTATACAGATTGAATTAAGTGAATAAATAGAGTCCTCATTCGTTATATTAAAAAGAACAAGATGTTCAGAAGTTCCTTTTATTTCAAAAGGAAGAAAGAATAATACAGGTTTGGAAAAACATGAAAGTAATAGACGGTATTTTCTTTTTTTCTTCTTTTTGTGGAATTGAGGAACACTTTAGCATACTGTTACATACCTCAAAAGAATATAGTTAAGTGCAAACTTAATTTAATGCTTATTAGACACTTAATGGCATGTGAATTGTAATTAAATAAAAATGCATTATAGTTTACATTTATGTTAAATATGATTAGATTAACCTTAGAGTGCTTTTTGACCCACTTTATATGTGCATCTTTATATGTCATTTTAAAATTACTATTATCTTTGAAACATGGTTAAAGTTACTGCTGAATGTGCTGACAAGCATTCATGTTAAATTAAAATGTACTTTAAATATACTTTTATGTAATTTCTATTGATACCTGTATGTCATGTAATTAAATATTTTAAATTACACATTTGTGATGATGAAGTTGCAATTTAGTGCATTTAAATATATTTATAATAAATGTAATATTGAAGCCAACACATCAAAACAAGAGAAAAGTGAAAAAGTTAATAAAACTTAATGATTTAAATAGACTTTAAAGTAAAACATTATCACAAAGTGAACTGTTTAAAAGTGTACTTAAGTTAAGAAACAGTCTTTCTTTAAGGACACTTAAGTGGCCTTTAATTTCATTAGGAATATATTATCTGCAAGTAAAGTTTTTTTTGAAAATATACTTTTAAGATTTAAAGTACACTACAAGTGCACATTCAAAACAATTAAGTGCACTTCTTTTTCACAAGGGCTTTCAAATGAATTAGTGTCATAATTTTGATTAATAAGTTAATAAAGAACCTCTGCAATGATGAAGTTACACTGTTACACTGAAGTTACACAGCAAGCTGTTCCCTAAACAGTTAAGTGGTCTGTAATGCCAAGCCCTGACCTCAGGCATGCATGAGTCAGTGACGAGAGCTGCTCTCCCAGCTGCTGCTCTGTGGTCAGTCTACACTATGGGAGAGAAATTAGTGGCGACAATGGCGGCCACCTCCATCGAAAACTCCCTTCAGACTCACACAGACCATTCCCGCGGTCGACCCTCACCACAAGAGCAGCACGCTCACTTTAGCACTCTTAAGTGCTTGACTACGAATGCCTGTTCTCCCTCATTTCCCATCTCTCAGCCCTGTAAGGACGCTCTCGGACCGAAGCAGGTACTCACATCACCGTAAATGTTGGTGCCGACCACTGGAGCCCAATATGAAGGTTCGTTTATGCAGTTAGCTGGGCAGAAGACTCTGATGGGATAGAGGAGAAACGGGTGAGGTGCATTACTTTGACAAGCAATGTACTTACAAACTGAACTTATATAGAGCGTATATAGCGAGAATTTCAATACTTTGAAGTGTACCTTGGACAATGAGAGGCAGACGACTTGAAGGGACAAATCTCAGCCACTGTCGTGTAGCAGTCTATTGTTTGCTCTAAAAAAGGGAAAAATAAATTTTTTGGTCAAACAGGCCTTCTGCCAAAGATAACAAAATGTTTATTATTATTATTATTATTATATTTCAAATACACAAAATAATGATCTTTAAAATAGCATCATATGACCCCTTTAATTAATAATCTGACTGCATACTGAAAAAATTATGAGATCAATAAAATATTTGCATAATAATACACTTTAGCATCGTTTTAAAAAATAATACATTTATGGAAATAACATAATTAATTGCGAACTGAATGTAATGTTTTCAGACACTTAATTGAATATTAATTGCAAAATGTATTATAGTTTAAAGTTATATTAAATGCAATTAGCTGGACTTTAGAGTGATTTTTCGACCCACTTATGTACATCTTTATGTGTAATTTCAAAATTAATTTGATTATATTTGAAATATGTTTAAAGTTACTGCTGAATGCACTGACAAGCATTTATGTTAAACTAAAATATACAACAATGTATATTTATATATATTTAAATATATTTGTAATTGCACATTTGTAATGGTGAAGCTGCAATTTAGAACATTATAGATTTATACAATATATTAACTTCAAATGAAATATCCAAAAACACACTAATTCTGATTTGAAAAATATGAGAATATCTGCGTTCGCTTCGTAGTTATCAATATAAGACAATAACAATACTCACCTTCCACTCTCGACACTGTAAATGCATTGCCAGGTTTGTATTTACTGAAAAGAAAATCACAGAACGCAGATTAGAGTGAATAACTCTCATGTGGATATTGAATTTTGGACAAACTGAATTCAAATGATATCAACATAACATTTAGACTACCTGAATGACTCTACGCCATTCTTGGTTGCCTTTACAAAGAATGGGAAGTTGTCTTTTCTTGTGACATCCACAAGGCCTCCATTGTTGTCAATTATTCCATAGTGGATAGCAGCACGGCAAATACTTGATTGCTAAAATAATAGAAAAAAACTGAATTAATAAATAAATGTAACATCACCCACTTAAACAGAACCAGGTGAAATGTCAAAGTAACACTTACAACATCATAAGACAATGTTCCCCACACTTTCCCCTTTTTATTTAAGCAGTTTGCTGGGCAGTTGTACCTTAAAAAGAAAAGAAAAAAGGCACCAGTAAAATTTTCAGAACTTATCATATCTTTAAAGAAATAACAAATTCCTTTACACCGACCTGTTGCAGGTCGCTCCTTTACATTTGTCCCTCATTCTTGTCTCACACTTAATATTTTGTGCTAAAAGACAAAAGAATAAAAAAAAAAGTCGAAATTTAGAATGTTTTATCATGAATAGTTTAGATAAATGAGCAAATTACATTATTTAAATAATTGTAAAATACTAAAAATGCTAATTAATTTAAAATTATAAAAATACATAATAATAATAATAAATTTTTACATTGTTTTTTCATTATTTCATGCAAATGAACAATAAAAACATTATTACTATTTATTTTTAATAGAACTTTTTAATTGCTTTTAATTACTTCAAATAATATTATTCACACTAACCTAGATAGGTTGTTCTTGTAGTCTTGGTTGAGGAAGGATTGGCATTTGCAGGTTTTTTGGGGGAAGAGGGTTTGGGCTGAGGCTTAGTTGGAGTAGTTCGAGGCTGTACTGGCTCCTGCTGCTTCTCCACCTCATTCGTATCTGGAGGCTCGTGACGTTCAGGGTCTCCTAAAAACAAAATCACAACAAAAAAACTCAAAAATAAGATTTAGACTTCCATGTGTTATACCTTTGTAATCATTCTTCTATCAGTGCTCACCCTTGTAGCAGAGGTTGTCTCTGCAGCTTCCTCCATAGCTTGGTGGGCACTGGGAACAGGGGCGGCCATGTTGGTAGGGGGCTTCCCCGATCCAGTTTCCCCTAAAAAAAAGGCACGGGTTCAGCATGGTTTTGGAAACGACTGCGAAATCTGCACATTTGACTGAGCACTCAAAACACATTATCACATACTCTCACGGATCTCAAGAACGATTCAGGAAAAACAATCCCCAGCTGCCAAATTAAATCATTAGCTTGGAAAAGAATAACATTCTGTCCATGTTTTCCTTTCCCGAAAGCCTTCATTTACTTTTCCATTTTTCTAAGGATGAATCTTTGTTTATAGCCTCCATGTTTTCAAGGATGTAAGTTTTGTTCCATAGGATCATCATCAGGAATAGTAATTAGCCATCTGGTGTTAAATGAATAAACGTCAGCAGAAAGAGCTGGTCTTACTTGGGTGAGTAGTTGCAGACGAGATAGACGGAGTTCTCCCAGATTTCTCCCCATACGTTCATACGCGGACACAAGTGTACAGCACAGCCAACACGGTTGGTTGTGGCCCAGACCACCTGCAAATGAAGAGAAATACATTATTATTAGTGGTGTTTGCTCAGGATTAGATATTTGTTCATAAATACTTAACCTTGACATGTAAGTCATCTGGAATGTTGAATAGAAGTGTCTTATTTCTTTTCTAAGCAATCTTGTCATTACAGTTTTCAATAGGATAATGATAAAATGAACAAAAACCCCATAGAACCATACATTGAAGATGGACCCAAGCTAAATCTATAGGCTCTTTTGACTACAACCAGTAACCAACCATACATAACGCCCTAGGAACCTCTTAGAAACACCCTAGAAACCATCTATAGCACCCTAGCAACCACCTAGAAACGACCTAGCAACTGTACAGCGATGAGAAACGCTCCTACAATTAGAGTCAGTAAGCAACCATCCAGAACACCCTAGCAACCACCTAGAAACACCATAGAAACCACTTTTAACATTCTAGCAATGTGCTAAATGCTCTTACGACTTTACCAGTAAGCAACCATTTATAACACCTTAGCAGCCACCTAGAAACCATATATAACACCCTAGCAACCACCTAGAAACAACCTAGCAGCTATTTAGCATTAAAAATTCTAAGAACACCTTAGCAACTCCAACTGGCAACCACAAGACACTAGAATCAAGGCAGCAATTTTCTGATACAATGCACTTGTTGTGGAGAGGGAAAAAAACTAGCCTAAGCTGGTTGGCTGGTCTTAGCTGGTTTTAGCTGGTCTCCCAGCCTGGCTAAGATGATCAAGCTGATGTTCAGTTGTTTTTAGCTGGTTGGTCAGCTGTTCTTCCAGCCTGAACAGCAAAAGAAGTGGTCAAAACCCCTCTAAAACCAATGTGCGAAAACTACAATCAGCTATGACCAGGCTGGAAGACCAGCTAAAACCAGCCAAACATCTTAGGCTGGTTTCAGCTGTTTTTTCAGCAGGGATGTAATTACATCTGTAATTAATTTATGTAGTAATTACACTGATAACCTTACCCCTACCCCTCACCCAACCTTAAACCTAACAATACAACAAAACATGAGCCTAATCTTACCTGTATCCTACCTCAATATCAGCAAACATGTTTGGCAATTCAACATAAACACAATGTTCCAAACAATTATTTTTTTGACCTAAGTAAGATACCTAATTAAAAAGTGATACCAAAAATGTTTCTTCTGGCATGCAGGAAAGATGCAGGTCTCTTTGCTGTTGTTGTCAAACGCGTAAAAAAGACATCCATATCGACTCCCCTCTGAAGAGGAAGTGTTCCCCAGCAGGAAGTGGTCTCTGTTCTGGCGCAGAGGCAGTAGATTGATGGGGCCACGGGGGCCGTGAATAGAGACTGCCTTCTTTCATTCTGCCCTGTAGGGTGGAAGGAGAAGCACCTCAAGGCCAGTTTCCTGAAAAACTTCCCTTCATCCACTCTTATCCACACAAACAAAGTAAAGCCTGCATGCAGCCCGTTGAGTTGCGGTCAAGGCCCTCACTGATTCGCTTAAACACAATATGGTTCACCGGGTGCAGCAGTGCAGCACGAGCCAAACCATTTGACTGTGAAATGAAAGGGAAGTGCTTACTCAGACTTTTTTTCGTACATACAGTTAAACCGTAGTGGGTTTGCATCTAACCTCGCAGAACGCAATTGAGGGAGCACGTCTCAATGCTCCCTCAGGAATGCACTTCCTCTGCAGAGGCCGCAGACGGTGTTGGCCATGGGACAATGAAACAGCAAACTAATCAGTCTCAAAAAACACAAACTCAAGCTTAACCCTGAGGGATCGTCTGGCACCGAGAAGATCGTGGAGCCTCCAGACCTGCTCTACAGCACGTGAGAGAGGAGGGAAACGGGGAGAACCGTGGCACGGATTTGGCGCGGATCCCCTACGACTCTGCGTTCTGCATCTTCAAAGGAATTTGGGTCAAACAGGAAAATGATTCAGGAGTCTGGGAACGGCTTCCAGATGCTTGTGACCTGCTTTCAGAGCTGAGCGAATGTGTATTTTCACAAACTCATCCCAGCGATAAAGTAAAGCCTAAGAGGACATGAGGCTATTGCTCAACCCCTCCTTTTGTCCTCAATTTTCTCTGTTGTTGTCTCTCTTGAACTTTGGTTGGTCTCTCTTTCCTACTCTCCTTTTCTTTGTGCATTGCATCTGCTTGATCTGGCATGTGCAATATGTTTTGACAGTATCCACATTACTTTTTCAAATACCATTTTCAAAAAGGAGCTGTTAGTGTAGAATGAAACAGAAACACAGAAAACCACTGGTGATAAAAGTGGCCCTAAATAGTATTTGGACAACTGGTAAGACTTTAGTTTAGGGAGCAATTCTCAGTATTAACTAGTTTCTTATTAGCATGCATATTACTAGCATATTGTCTGTTTATTAGTACTTACAAAGCACATATTAATGCTTTATACTGCATTACCATATTTTAGATCCCTTAATCCTACTCAATACCTATTACCTAAACTTAGCAATTACCATACTAACCACTAATAATCAGCAAATTAGGGATTTATTGAGGCAAAAGTCATCATAGTTAATAGTTAGTTAAGAGTGAGAATTGTTCCCCAAACTGAAGTATGATTTTCATAAAGTATGAAAAAATGAAAAATCTGTCATCATGCCCTCATGTCATTCCAAACCCTTAAGACTTTCGTGCATCTTTGAAATGCAAATTAAATGAATTTTTGAATTTTTAATGAAATATGCAAGATTTCTGTCCATTGGAAGTCCATGCAACCAAAACCTAAACACTTTAAAAAGTACAATAAAAGTAATCCATATGAAACGAGTTGTGTAATCCAAGTCTTCTGAAGAGACACTATCACTTTATATGATGAACAGATTTAATTCACATATAAACATTGATCAATGTACATAATGTACATAGAGCACATCAAATATGGTAAAAAGGATCTCAAACATACAGTACATGTTTGATGCGCAAGAACAAACCTCACTGGACTTTCAATGGATGACAAAAAGAGAATATTAAAAATGTAGTATTTTCATTAAAATATTTGCATTTTTGGGTGAACTCTCCCTTTACATTTAATTTATAATACGAGAATTAGACAATATAATATCAAATCAAGTGGCATCTACAAAAACTGCTATGATGCAATGACGGTCACACTGTATTTATTTTATTGTATTTATTTTTATTTGGATTTATTGAGGCAAAAGTCATCATAGTTAATAGTTAGTTAAGAGTGAGAATTGTTCCCCAAACTGAAGTATGATTTTCATAAAGTATGAAAAAATGAAAAATCTGTCATCATGCCCTCATGTCATTCCAAACCCTTAAGACTTTCGTGCATCTTTGAAATGCAAATTAAATGAATTTTTGAATTTTTAATGAAATATGCAAGATTTCTGTCCATTGGAAGTCCATGCAACCAAAACCTAAACACTTTAAAAAGTACAATAAAAGTAATCCATATGAAACGAGTTGTGTAATCCAAGTCTTCTGAAGAGACACTATCACTTTATATGATGAACAGATTTAATTCACATATAAACATTGATCAATGTACATAATGTACATAGAGCACATCAAATATGGTAAAAAGGATCTCAAACATACAGTACATGTTTGATGCGCAAGAACAAACCTCACTGGACTTTCAATGGATGACAAAAAGAGAATATTAAAAATGTAGTATTTTCATTAAAATATTTGCATTTTTGGGTGAACTCTCCCTTTACATTTAATTTATAATACGAGAATTAGACAATATAATATCAAATCAAGTGGCATCTACAAAAACTGCTATGATGCAATGACGGTCACACTGTATTTATTTTATTGTATTTATTTTTATTTGTTTTTTTTTAGACTAGCTTAGGTGTACAAATACATTTTGGGGCTATGTTACATGCATGTTACATGACACTGTTTTGTGTGAGGTTAATGAACGCCTGTGTCCAAGGCTGCACTCCATATGCTGCTTTTAAAGACGCTTCTGTTTCAGTGCAGGTCACACATGCTACTTATTAAACTCTGCTGGTGAGGAGAAATGCTAGCTGGCACATGTACACCTCAACAACAATGTCATGTTGTTTAGTCCCACTGGGATAATAGTTTGTAAACTGTAAGTAAACTGGACTTTCTCACTCACTTGTGTGTAGTGGGTGCACATGGGTCCAGAGCAGCGCTCAGGGCACCAGGGGTTGCACTCATGCGGGTAAGGGTAGGTGTAGTCCTTCACCTCATCGTACCAGGCCTGCACATGGTAGGCCGGAGAGCGGTACCTATCAGGAGAGAGATACGATAAATAATATGATTATGATGCCACAGTAACTTACACTCTTTACATCAATAGTGTTTAATATGTAAAATGCATTTACATTAATTCATTTGGCAGATGTTTTTACACAAAGCAACTTAAAGAGCAGCATGGGGATCATTTGGGGATCACGTGGGTGGATTTCAGTTTGTATGTTGTAACTTAGAATTGATCGATTTTAATTAGTTCAAATTTGTTAATTTCAGCTCAAAAAGTCGAGAATTGCACTAGCAGCGCCAATGTCATGTGTTTGATTCCCAGTGAATGCAGAAACGGATCAATTGTATACTTTTGCTGCAATGTAAAGGTTAAATTTCGTGTTTAAAATCCAGCCATTTCAATAGGATTCTGTGTGATGAGGGCAAAATATTTCCCCTTGTACATTTCGCAACAGGTTCAAGTTGGTCATGCTTATTTGCAGCATTGACAAACATGCATGGTTGGAAATTGACTTCTTCTGTGCAAGCTGTGCTTCATGAATCACTACACTTCAACATAATCTCATGGCAATTCATAACTATATTATGCTTTGGAATTAATACGATCTCATCTCTCATCGTTTTCATACAACTTGCTTATACCCCCCTGATGGTTATTTTTAGGGGTGGGGTTAGAGATGGACCTGAAAAGCTTACTTAAAAAAAAAAAAAATTGTGTGTTTTCATACGATTCACTTTGTACAGTACAAATTCATACAAAATCACCACCTAGTAAAATGGTTATGATTTCTAATGGGAAACTATATTGCAAGGTGCTGATTTCATATGAATTAATAAAATGTGAATCATACCATTTTTGGAAAAAAAGTTTCGATTTTTTAGAAAATAAGAGATTGGGTTTCTATACTATTGACAATGGACAAAGGACCCTTTTTGACTGCAAAATGTTATTAAATGTTACCGCAACTCAAGTTGATTTGGATAAATGCATACGAGTAAATGTAAAATAAGAAAAAAATTGGGGGGAAAAGTCTAAAATATAGCAAAAATGTCTCCAGATCTGAATGAACACCTTTGCTTGCCTTAGGAAAAATAATATCTGTAGAGACTTTTCCAGGCCTGGAAATCACATTTTTTAAATTTCCAAATATTTCCAGGTTTTCCATGACTGTGTGCACGACTGGTTACATTACAGAAACATATATGATATGGTCTTTCTAAATGTGTCTGTACTCATACCTTCCCCAGTGCACGGCTAGGTTCTGCCCGATGGACATCAGTAGATCTTTAGGTCCATGTTCCCACTGGCACTGTTCCGCCCAGTAGGTCGCTGACTTCTCCAGTTCATCGTCCCAAACCTGGTCATACACACACAAACTAAATAAAACTCCCAGCAGAACACACAGAGTCCATAATTCCCATATATTTGCACTGAGACTTTAACAAAATACTGAACATGCTGAGTTTTATTCCCAGATAATTCCCTTTGCCTTCCTCTGACTCTTCATCTTCACTATTGGACTGGGAATCAGGCCCAATACAACTAAAATATTGGCTACATGCACACACATCAGAGCTTGGCTCACATCCATTGTAAATCCCCAGCAATCAGGGTTAAATGAGATGAATTTCCACAGCTTATTTCTCCACCTGTAGGGAGGAGGACTCACTTCGCTCCACAGAACAGGGTTCTTCACCTCTGAGGAACTCTCAGTAAATTTCCAACTGCATGATGGGTACAAACACTCACACATTCTGTAACCTCAGTTCTGAAGGTGCTGTTTGGGACTAAGCCACTTTTCTGAAACCTTTACTTGTTCGCTGAGGCCTGGCAGTGGTTCTAAAAGCCCTGCTTGTGGTAGAATCCTGTCTTTCTCAAAGGCATCAACCCAACTACATTAACCATAAGCCCTTGCTCTTTGTATCTTTCCCTTTAAAATCTCACTACATCAACATGAAACTCATGTTCAATTACCATGCGCAAAGGTACACGGGGAACAGCAATAAAGCAGGACTGTGCTCTCTATAGGTCCCTAGCACATCTATGATTACTTAAAAAACCTATGGTTTTCCCTTAAAAACATGATTTCCCACAATGCCTTGCTATGGAATACTACTGAGGCCTTTAAATGTGTTAAAGTGATGCAGGTGTATCCAGTTATGCTCATCTACTAGTAGAACCAAGAGCTTTTGCCAGGTCAAGTAAATGGTGATAGAATTGTCATTTCTAGTGCACTTAATTGTACTGAATGTGAACTTGTAGTGTACTTCAAATCATAAAAGCATATTAAAAAAAAAATTTAAAAGGCCACTTAAGTGTACTTAGAGTACATTTTAATCACTGTTTCTTAACACACTTAAGTGCACTTTGTAATAATGTCAAATTAAAAGTTTTACTTTAAAGTACATTTTAAATCATCATGTTATAATAATCTTTTGTCATGCTTTAAAGACTTACACTTATTTTCATGTACTGACTAACATATTAAAGCATATGTAAAGTACCTGATTACTTGATTTGAATTGTAGGGTATTATTAGATATTACATTTAAAATCAATTTTGCAATTGCAACTTTGTCCTTACAAATGTGTAATTACAAGCTTATTTAAATACATTACTTACAAGCTTTAATAAAAACGGCATTGAAGTATATTTCAGTTTACCATAAATGCTTATCAGTGCAAACAGTACACTTGAACCATATTTCAAAGAAAATAGATATAATTATGAAATTACCTATAAAGACGTACTTAAGTATTTCTTAAATTGGTTAAAAACTCTTAAGTTCAACTCAAAGTAATTGCATTTAATATGAATTTAAACTATTTCATTTAATTTCAATTAACATGCAACTTAGCGTTCAAGAACATTACATTCAGTACGCACTTAAGTATATTCTTTCCCATAATAAGTACTCTTTTTGAAGGTATGCTAAAGTGTACTTCTTTTTCACAAGGGATTCCCTTTAGCACTTACAACTGAAGGCTGCATAGCTGCCATATTTAGTCACATAACTGAAGCCTCATCTCTGGTCCAGTAATGTCACTAATCTTTGGCTCTGTTCTCTATCTGTCTCATGGCTCCTGTGTCAGCAGATGGCTAAACCTCAGTGTAATTGTCTTCACAATAAAAAGCACCTCACCACACTTGTAAACTCAACATGTCTCTTCCAACGAAGCCAGTATTTGGCACCTACACAAACCTAAAGATATTTACTGCACCAGAAAAAAAAACGATGACTGCTGCTAACACAATATACAGTTAGTACAAATCAGCGTCATTAACGCAGAACAGAGTGTTGGTATGTACAGCTCTCGACATGTGTGGTCGATATTTAAAAAAAAACTTTGCTGCAGACTAAAATGACTAGTGTTGCTGTTTACACAGACAGTTACTTTCTAAAGCAGTATACGAACTGAAATAGAGCCTCATAAGTGACTGATTTGACTCTTCATAGACAGCACTGGGAGACTAGACAAACTATTAACTCCTATAGAGTTGAATGCTAGCATGTTGCTAAGCTAACAGTGTGATAATCTAATAATAAAAATAAAAACCCCTGGTGAAAAGGGAGTGTGCTTAGTGCTTTCAGTGCACTTCAAATCATAAAAGTGTATTTTAAAAACTATACTTGCAGATAAGACAATGTTAATCAAATAAAAGGCCACTTAAGTGTACTTAAAAATAGACACTTTCATGACTGTCTCTTAACACACTTAAGTACACTTTTAAAGAGTGCAGTTTGTAATAATGTCATAATAAATTAAAGTTTTACTTTAAAGTGCATTTTATATCATTATGTTTTAATAATTTTATGTGTTGACTAACATACTAAAGCAAAGCACTTGATTTTAATTCCAAATGTATTGTGTTATTCATTTTAACATTTAAAGTAAATATTTTTTTTAAATGTACTAAATTGCAATTTCATCATTACAAATGTGTAATCACAAATTTATTTAAATACATGTTATACAAGTTTCAACAGAATATAAATTTAAACCATAATACATTTTCATTTTATTGCAATTAACATGTATTTAAGTTTCTGAAATCATTACATTCAATTAACACTTAAGAATATTATTTTAATGTATATTATTTTCCTTTTTAAAAGACATGCTAAAGTGTAATTTCTTTTTCATGTAGCACACACAAAAATAAAAAATAATGCATTATTAAATAGATTGTATTTGATACTTTTTGGTGTTGAATAAATATTTTTGTATTTATAATCAATAATTCTCTTGATTTATTCATCATCTTGGGTGAAAAATTTCAGCTTGTCACATCCTAAGGTTTCTTTCAGCAGCTTAAACTTAAATAAGATCTTAGATGTCAGCATAACTTTACTTTTTGAAACAGTCCTTGTGTCTGCAGCACACTCATGATGGTCTAAAATGTTTTTTATGAAGGCAACTCTCTAGGTTTTGGAACAGAACCTCCTGAGTTTTCAGCTCAGTTCATTTTAGTGTGTCTATACCAGTGATGGGCAAACTTGACCCTTCCAGGCCACTTTCCTGCAGAGATTTGATCCAACCCTGATAAAACTCACCTGCCTGTAGCCTTCTAGTAGTCTTGAAGACAATGATTAGCTGGTTCAGGTGTGTTTGATTAGGGTTGGAGCTAAATTCTGAAGGAAAGTGGCCTGGAAGGGCCAAGTTTGCCCACCCCTGGTCTATACAGACCCTAAATATTACAGTAAATCATAAAAAGAGTCGTTTGTGAGTGAACAATGACTCAAACTGTGTTCCATTCTCACCATGTACTCCATGTTGGAGGCGGTCGGGTACACCTCTCCTCTCAGCTTGTTGTGCAGTTGCAGGATCTCCTCCCTGTCCGACCACCCAATGGCTCTGCGAGTGCGTAAAGGCGCATCGGCTTTTGTGCTGTTGGGCTCCAGCTCGTCCTGGTAGCGTTGCATTATCTGCCTCAGCTCCAGGGAGTCAGGAAGGAAGAGGGAAGCAGCCAAACTGGCACCCAGGAATAGCAGGGCAATGGAAATGAGCCTGTGCATGGCAGCAGTGATGCTTTCGGGGTCGGACTACAGTAGACTGCCTTGTGTGAGCGTGTCTTCAGGGCTCTGCTCTGAAAAATCTGGAAGGAAATATGGTTTCCATGAGGACAAGTGTTGGGAAAGTTGTCGGAGCAAGCGCTGGATAGTAAACACACGTCCATGTGTTTACACACAAAGAGAAATCAGTGCTTCAAAGGGGAATTTGCTAAATTGGTTTCATTAGTCACTCTTATTGCATCCTGACTAAACATACACCACAAATATATGAACACATACAGAATCCAATAACAACAATCAGAGTGAAGAATCTGAGGGTTGATATTCTGGAACGACATGAGACGCATCCATCCATGTAGTGCTTCTTGGTTTAAACTCATGCTTGTCCATTAGGTGAATCTACCATAAAAAAACAAGTCCAGGTTACATTTCACCCCAAAGTAAGTAATTTTGCGTAAAGCAAGCACAGTTTTGAGACAAATAAGATTAATTGGGTTATTATGACTGTTGAGCACATTCCTTCCCAAATTACTATAACCATAATGCATTAATTTTTCTCCTTTTTACTGTAATACGTAATATTGACTGTATCACTATTGCAGTAAAAATATTGAAATACAATGTTTTCAATTTAAATTAGCATCAATAAAAGTGGTTATTATCTTTACTGTAATACCTAAAAATGTAACTGCATCACTAAATTACTGTAAAAATATTGAAATACAATGTTTTCAATTTAAATTAGCATCAATAAAAGTGGTTATTATCTTTACTGTAATACCTAAAAATGTAACTGCATCACTAAATTACTGTAAAAATATTGAAATACAATGTTTTCAATTTAAATTAGCATCAATAAAAGTGGTCATTATCTTTACTGTAATAACTAAAAATGTCACTGCATCACTACATTACTGTAAAATATTGAAACACAATGTTTTTCATTTAAATTAGCATAGATTAAAGTGATCATTATCTTTACTGTAATACCTAAAAATGTTACTGCATCTCTATATTACTGTAAAAATATTGAAATACAATGTTTTAAAATTAGCATAAATTAAAGTGGTTATTATCTTTACTGCAATAATTAAAAATATAACTGTCACTATATTACTGTAAAAATATTGAAATACAATGTTTTTAATTTAAATTATCATAAATTAAAGTGGTTATTATCTTTACTGTAATACCTAAAAATGTAACTGTATCACTATATTACTGTAAAAAATATTGAAATGCAATGTTTTCAGTTTAAATTAGCATACATTAAAGTGGTTATCTTTGCTGTAATACCTAAAAATGTAACTCTATCACTATATCACAGTAAAAATATTGAGTGTTTTTTTTTAAATATGCATGAAATAAAGTGATTGCCTTTACTGTAATACCAAATAATGATAACTGTATCATTATATTACAGTAAAAATTTTGAAATAAATGTTTTTAATCACCATACATATACAAGCACAACAGATAATACCATGATTATTTAGATATTATACATTTTTATTATTCAATTACAATATTACAGTTTTTTCACATTACAGCAATGAGAACTATGCTAATTAATTAATTAATTAATAATAATGATGTCCATTTATAATGTTGTTTCTTATTAAATTTAGATTAATTATGAGGGACATTACAGGTTTCTTGATTAATTCACCCTTTTTGTACTCTCTGCAGAATTGCCATTAAATTGCTCAGATGAAATTTGCCATCTAACCTCAATGGAGCAGCACTCACCAATGAGGAAATGAAGCGGCCCACAACGATCCACATCAAATGAATAGTTTGTGCTCCAATTAGAAGAATGTTTATTGTATGCCATAATCAATTGTCAATCCAAAGGCCCCATCATTACAGAACAATTATACTATCAAAGCCTCACATAACAAAAACCCCATTGTAATCTTCATTACTACTCAAAAGATCAAACCACTAAGCCTGATCTCCTTCGATTAGATTGTTCAGTTTGATGGACCAGCAGGTCTGTTTGATCTCTGCAGGTTCACAATCTATCCATAAACTCAACTTTGTAGGTCAAACTCGTTTATTTCCTGCGGTGACCATGCATAATTCATTAGCAGAACAGATCCACACTCAGCAGCTGTGCCATTCACAGATTAATCAAAGCAGATCCTTCTCTATCCCAGACTGAATTTCTCTGGGAATGGAATTATCCAGGTTCGTACAGCAGCTGGAGTGGGTGCGAGAATGGGAGCGAAGAGCAAGTGAATTTTAGTTATTTGGGGACCAACACTAGTGGCCACTTCTAAACACCGATGAGTCAAACGGTTTTTACTTCTCCCCTCTCTGACTCTCTCTGCAGAGCCTTGACATCCAACACTGGTCTGAGTAAACACAGGCACCGCTTCAATTCCAGCTGCTGCTCTCTCTCTCACTCTCTTTCTTTTTAATTCACATTCAGTGCCATCTCATCTCTCTCCTGAATTTTATACTACCATGACAGACCAAGCAGCCAGGAAAACGCCAGCTGGGCACCTCCATGTAAACAGGAGATAAAAAATTGCCAGGTGGTCCATCTGCACTTTATATGGCAAAATGCTGGTTGGTTTTGCACATTGTGCTTTTCCTATGCACAAGCATAAAAGTTTGAAATGGCATGAGATTGTTATAACAGCATGACAGTTCAACCACATGCATATTTTCCAAATGACAGTTAGTGCAATTAATGTCCAAAATCATGCCCGTAATGCATCTTAATACACATGCTCTCAAATTGATGCTGATCAGTGAGCATTAGATTCTACACACTGACTATCAATGGATCATTACCAAAAAAAGGAGGAAAAAAGCAACTCCTCCCCTGATTCTGCACAGCCAACTTTAATTGACTAAATGCATCAGTTAATCAATGTATATTGTTAATTTACCTTCCATATACTACAGTGTCAGCAACACATCTTACCTAGTGTGCGTCTTCTCCACGAGCTTTTCCAGAGGCTGCTGCAGCTCAGTGTCTCGCGGCTGGAGTATTTTCCTTGAAAGTCAAACAAGTGTGAGTAGTGGACTCTGTCTGGCAGCTGGTGACTCGCACTGACTCTATGGAAGCAGCTCAGCGCCTTTTATAGCGAAGGAGAGGAGCGTGAAGAAGAGGAGGAGGAGGCTGAAGAAGGTTGTGTTCTTGGCAAACCTCCGGCGCTCTGACGAACGATGTCGAGATGAAAACGCAACGAACGTAAATCATCTCAAAGCAGCTCCAGAGACGCGTCCTGAGGATTACTCAACAACTCACGACAGCAGGATGTTTGTCGATGAGTTATCATTTTGTAATATGTTATTATGTCCGTCAATACATTAACGGTTATATGACATTTCGTCATCAATAATATAAATGGAGAACGTGGCTAGTTATAATAAGTTATAACTATGTAGGTGCTCTATTAGGTTACCTGTCTATTTTAATTGTAAATTCCTTTATTCCATTATTTTATATTGTAATAAAATTTTTCAAGATTACTGTTTTTTGTTTTGTTTTTTTTTTATCAAATAAATGCAGCCTTATAAAATTAAAACTAATAAAAACTATAGTAAAAACTATTTGAAACGACTAAAAATCGTGTCTTGTTTCACCATCAAGATATTACAGCCCGTATATTTACATAAAAGGCTATGCAGACATCTAGTGGCTATACAGTTTAGTATTACAGTTTTATTTTTATTATAATTCTTTTATTTCTTTAACATGTACAAGTAAAAATAAATATAGTTTATACACAACATTTAAAAATGTACACCACATACATATTAGTCTATTTTAAAATAAGCCTACATGTCGAAATGAATGTGAAATGCTATGATCTTTCTTTATTTCATTGACTGATCCGGGATGTGGGGACTCTCATGTTAATTTCTGCGTTTTCAGGCTCATTTTCCACTAGAAAACTTACAACTGCAGTCATGCACACCATGGAATTTTAAATCACTAACAAACAAAATTTTAGCAAACATGATGATTTCCATGCTCGGACTCGTATCTGCATACGTTCAAGTTGGTTGCCTTTAAGTATGTATATGTTTTGTTAAATGTGAGCCAAAATCATCACAATTAAAAGAACCAAGACTTAAACTACTTCAGTCTGTGTGCATTGAATTTATTTAATACACGAGTTTCACAATTTGAGTTGAATTACTGAAATAAATGAACTTTTCCACGACATTCTAATTTATTGAGATGCACCTGTATGTTTTACCAATTTGTAGCAGTAAAACAACTACAGTTATGACTTGTTGACACAGACTTGTTCATATCAGTGGTTTTTAAATGACAACATATAAAACAAGCAAAACAACATTTACTGTTAAAATTCCATCGTTGAAACTTGAACCATCACTGACTAATAAATTATATGGCTACATGTGTGCATAATGAAAACATACCTGTGCTCCTGCATTTATTAGAGCTTTAGAAATCAGAAGAGAATACAGAGTATATATACATATAAGAATACTGATTTCACATCTTCAGAAAATAACATTTTATATTTAATTTGCTATGTAACTTATTTTCTTATTGGTCTTGAGAAACAGGTGAAAGTGGGGCAACAGATCACATTGTGTCACTATACCGTTACATGTTGTGGATTTTTCATATGTTCAACTCATTCAGCAACGATCCGCTGAAGCAACAATAGTGCATTAAAGGGTTAGTTCACCAAAAAATTAAAATGCTGTCATTAATTACTCACCCTCATGTCGTTTCAAACCCGTAAGACCTTCGTTCATCTTCGGAACACAAATTAAGATATTTTTGATGGAATCTGAGAGCTGTCTGACCCTGCATAGACAGCAATACAACTGAAATGCTCCCAAGTCCAGAGACGTAGGAAGGAGATCTGTAAAATAATCCATGTGACATCAGTGGTTCATCCGCAATTATAGGAAGCTACGAGAATACTTTTTGTGCGCAAAAGAAAAAAAAAGAACGACTTTATTCAACAATTCGTTTCCTCTGCATCACCCTGGTGCCATTTTGGAGAGTATCCGCTGGACGTAAACAGCGTATGCTGTTCTGTGTCAGCTGTGCCACACAGATACGCTGTTTTCGTTCAATCAAATCACAACCACATAGGAAACAGATCCGGCGAATATTCTCGTAGCTTCATAAAATTTCGGTTGAACCCCTGATGTCACATGGATTATTTCACAGATCTCCTTGCTACGTTTCTGGACTTGGGAACATTTCAGTTGTATTGCTGTCTATGCAGGGTCAGACAGCTCTCAGATTCCATCAAAAATATCTTAATTTGTGTTCCGAAGATGAACGAAGGTCTTACGGGTTTGAAACAACATGAGGGTGAGTAATTAATTACAGAATTTTCACTTTTGGGTGAACTATCCCTTTAATGACTGTACACTGGCTTGTCAGT